GTGTCCGGGGCCTGTCCAGTACATGTGCCCAGGAAAGGCTCTGCTGATGGGGCCTGAAGGTGAAGCTGAGGCCTTGGGACAAAGGTGGGGGGTGGAGCCAGCCTTGCCTTTGCCTGGTGACCACACACCCAAGGGTCCCCCCAGGCTAGGCCCAGAGAGAAAGGGCTTTGGCTAAGGGTTGTGGCCTCTTCTCTGAGGTTGGCTGGACAGTGTGCCGCTAGTTTCCCAGACCTGTGTGCAGGCCATCAGCATTTGCCCTGAGGTTGCTCAGGTGTCCTGCCAGGGTAGCCTCGACTTCCCAGAGGAGCTTGTAAGGTCACACGCAGGATTCTCTCCAGGCCAGTCATGGACGGGTCTTTGGCATGGCCGCACCAGGGAGCAGCAGTGGACCTCAGTGCGGAGGCTTCACCATGGCTCACGGGGGGCCCTGTTTTGGGGATGGAATATGTGTGCTGGGCATCCCTCTATCACTGAGCTGCATCCCAGCCTTCAAGTCTTCGATGTGAGCGATGGGCCCTGGCCCTCAGGCAGGGCCCTCCAGGCGGGCTGTGAGGAGTGGCCCTGGCCACCTTTGCAGGCAGCCCTGCTGGAGACAAACTCTAGTTGTGCAGAAAGAGAATTTCTGTTTTGTGTCCTTCCTGAGACTCTGGACACTGAGAGGCAAAGAGGAAAAGCATGTCACAGATGGGGGACTAGCCTTGTCCTGCGTTCTGGAACCCCTGAGAGCAGTCCCCAGCAGGGGGAACGTGGCCAGCTTCATGTGGCTCTAGGTGTTGGAAGACGGGCTGCAGAACAGAAGGGTGGGCTGGGCGGCGCCCCGACTGTGTGTGGTGGACACTGGATCCTTCAGGTCGCTCCAGGACGCCTGCTTCAGGTGGGTGCTGTGAACCACAGGTCAGCCACCTCAGCTCTGTGTGGACAGTCAGGTCATCTTTAAGTACCACTGCCTCTGAACAGCTACATCCCAGGTCCTGGGGCTGTGGCTTCAGCAGATGACCCTGGTGCTCAACATTGCTCAGTGCTGCCCGAGACACCCTCTTGACACACCCTCTTGACACCGGCTCCCTCTTGTCAAGAGCCCTGCCTGGGCCTGGCCACCTCACCTGCAGCTGCGGCCTGCGCTGAGACTGGCTGCGGCTTCTGGGCAGCGGTGCCTCCCGGCCTTGGAGCAGCCTGCCACAGCGCGACCCTCCTCCTATGTCGCGGGCCCTTGTGGTTTTGCTTGATCAACAGCTTCCATTCTTAGTGGACAAATGGAATTTGGTTTTTATGGCATAAAAATTACTGTTTCTCTGACTGATTAGCCATTTGCTGTGACACAGGGTGGCACCAGTGATGCGGAGACAATGAATCTTCCCATTGCTGAGAAAGTGACTTTGAT